TTGTGTCGGCGTGCCTCACTGTATGGAGGGTCAGAACACTAGCCTATCTGCCTTTACACCCCAGCTCTTAAACCCAGGTAGCCTCAGACAAAGGGTATCCTTTCCAATTAACTAAATATTGCAATTAACCTCTATGTAATCTAGAATCTAAAATTCTCTTAACCTCATAATGGGTCACTCCTTGCACCACTATGGGTGCTGGTTGGGTCTGTGGCCTCAATCTTGAACTAACTGCAGGCTTTAGAAAGCTACAGTAAAAGTCTGGATGCACTTTCCCTAATATGCGCGGTGAAGTTGAACTGTTACTGGGTTAATTCACTATCGGAAAAGGCCCTAAGAATTTAGGTCCCAGCTTCTTACTGCATAGTTTAAATTTAATGTATTTGGTTGATAGGTAAACTCGATCTTCCAAAATGTCCAAATCAGCTTGTGTCCAGTTAACTATACCAGCTGTGTATCTTATAACTGGTATTGCCCAGGTATTTATGGCCTTGATTGTATTGATGATGATGATGATGATGATGATGATGATGATGATGATGATGATGATTATTTGATAAGATCTGAAAAATGTGCAATGTGTAACCTGCACAGGCATAACCATCATGTGTTCCCTTTCCTTTCCCTCTCTCTCCCACTTCATTTCAATTTAAATCCTACATCAGCTTAGCTACTTTATGCATCAGGCACAATAGCTGCAGCTTAAGAAAGTGCAGAATTGTTAACAAAATTTGTTAATTCAAAAAGGTGATTCAAACTCATTACAGCAATAGCATGGACCCAACTGCCTATCACTTCCCAGACAACCTTCACCAACCAAGCAGGGCAGAGAACTAATAAACAGGTAGCAGGTTAGCAGACCTGAGAATCCTGTCCATTTCCTTTAGAGTTATAAGTTCAAACCTCTCTCAGTTAAGTACAAAAGACCTTGCTTCTGTCAACTCAACAGAACCTGCCCAGTCTGAGTCCAATTATGAGTAAATCCAAATGAATTTACCTATTAGACAGGGTAGAGTATTTTTCATGTCACATCTGTAGATGATGCTGTGACTTGTCCTTTCTCAAGACAAAATGAGTCACTTTCAACATGGCTGCTGGATGTTTATCTGGCCTTATGTCTGACTCCAGGGATGCTGCAGTTGCCCCTACCCACCTATCTTCCCTGCATCCTGCTGTGTTAGGTCCCTTGGTTAAGGTGACCAGATTTTAACATTGATAAAGAGGGACACCATTGACCGGGGAGGGAGGTTCTTGATTTTAAAAAATTTAAAAAATCGGGACTTTTAAAAAACGCTGCGGGACACGGGACAAATTGTTCAAAAGCAGGACGTCTGGTCACCTTAATTTAGATGCCCCTCAAAGGCAAAACTCAGGGGGCTGAATTCTACAGGGGGAGGAATAAAGGGGGGGGATTTGCGGGGCAGCCCAAAGCTATTTTTGCAACTCTTTATGGACTTTCTGGTGACATTAACACTGAAAAGATTATGTTTTA